CAATCAAGGACACTAAATCAGTAATCAAAAACTTCCCAACGAAGAAGAATCCATGACTATTCAGTTTCCTTGGTGAATTCTACCAAACATTAATGAAGAATTAATGCCAATCTTGTTTAAACTCTTCCAAAAACCCTGAAGAGGGCACACCCCCCAAACTCATTTTACAGCATTAGTCTGATACCAAAGCTAGATAAGAACACCACAAGAAAACTACAGACCAATATCCCTGGTGAATATAGATGCAAAAGTTCTCCACAAAATACTAGCAAAGCAAATTCAACAGCACATTAAAAGGATTATAAAATATAATCAGGCAGGATATATCTCTGGGATGCAAGGATAGTTCAATATACACAAATCAGAAAATAAGATATATCCCATTAACTGAAGGATAAAAATCACGTGATCACCTCAACAGATGCAGAAAAAGCATGTGACAAAATATACAACATTCTCTGATGATAAAAATGTTCAACAAATTGGGTAGAGAAGGAACATACCTCAACATAATAAGGACCATATATGACAAGTTCACAGCTAACATCATCATACTCAATGGTGAAAAGTTGGAAGCTTTTCCTCTAAGATCAGAAACAAGACAAGGGTGCCTACTCTCTCCACTCCTATTAAACATAGTACTCGAAGTCCAGCAAGAGTAATCAGGCAAGAAAAAGAAACAAAAGTTATCCGAATCAGAAAAAAAGAAGTAAAATTGTCTTTCTTTTCAGATGATATAATCTTATACACAGAAAATTCTAAAGAATTCGTCAAAAATATCCTAAAACTAATAATCAAGATACAGAAATCAGTTGCATTTCTGTAACAACAAAAAATCTGAAAAAGAAATAAAGAAAACAATTCCATTCTTAATAGCCTCAAAACAGTAAAATACTTAGGAATATCGGTAACCAAGAAGGTCAAAGATCCACACACTGAAAGCTGCAATTTTTAAAAATCAAGGTACAGCTGACGTACAATGTTATATTAGTCTCTCGTATACCACGTAGGATTTGACAATTCTATACAATATACTATACTCACCACAATAAATGTTCTTACCATCTGTCACCATACAACATTATTACAACATATATTCCCTATGCTATACTTTTCATCTCCAAGTTTTGTACCTTTTAACCCCCTTCACCTATTTTGCCTATTCCCAAAGCCCCTTCCCTCTGGCAACCACTAGATTGTTCTATTTATGAATCTGTTGTGTTTGTTCATCTTTTTTCAGACTGAACATATAAATGAAACCATACAGTATTTGTCTCTTATTTCACTTAGCATAATACCCTCTGGGTCTAATCCATGTTGTTGCAAATGGTAAGATGCCATTCTTTTCTATGGCTGAGTAATATTTCATTGCATATATGTACCACCCCTTTATTCATTCATCTATCATCCAACATTTAGGTTGCTTCCATATATTCACAGTTATAAATAATGCTGCAGTAAACACAGGTGTGCATATATCTTTTCAAATTAGTGTTTTTATTTTCTTTGGGTAAATAACCCAGTAGTGGAATTACTGAATCATATGGTATTTTTATTCTTAATTTACCTCCCTACTGTTTTCCATAGTGATTGCACCACAATTTATATTCCCACCAACAGAGGTTCCCTTTTTCTCCATATCCTTGCCAACACTGTTATTTCTTGTCTTTTTGATATTAGCCATTCTGACAGGTGTGAGGTGATACCTCATTGTGGCTTTGATTTGCATTTCACTGAGGATGAGTGATTTGAGCATTCATAGGTCTATGGGCCATCTCTATGTCTTCTTTGGGAAAAATGCCTATTCAGGTCCCCTGTCCATTTTTTAATGGATTATTTGGGGGCTTTGGTGTTGAGTTGTACAAGTTCTTTATATATTTTGGATATTAACCCCTTTTCAGATACATCATTTCCAAATATTTTCTCCCATTCAATAGGTTGCCTTTTCATTTTGTTGATGGTTTCCTTTGCTTTAAATATTCTCACTGCAAAAAAAGTAGTAGTAATTCTGTGACATGATGGAAGTGTCCATCATTTCAAAAAATTCTGAGTGGTGAAACTTCCTGGCAAGTCAAATTGATAGGACAAATGCTTAATAATTCAAATTCTTAAAGGGTACAGCCATTGAAACTTAAAGCATGATTCATTATTTGTTAAAATCTACCTCTGAAATTGTGACTTTATTTCCAACAGATAGCTCTGAAGCTCTCTTGAAATCAATGCTTCTACCGAGCTCAGGGAAATTTACAGTGAGAAATAAATACAATCTTAGAGTGTATTCAATTCACATTTCAAGTTTGAGTCTGAACATTTAAATAAACGGTCAATATTCTCCTGGAAGGGGGCGCCTGGGTGGCTCAGTCGTTAAGCGTCTGCCTTTGGCTCAGGTCATGGTCCCAGGGTCCTGGGTTCGAGCCCCACATCAGGCTCCCTGCTCAGTGGGAAGCCTGCTTCTCCCTCTCCCACTCCCCCTGCTTGTGTTCCCTCTCTTGCTGTGTCTCTCTCTGTAAAATCTTAAAAAAAAAAAAATTCTCCTGGAGGAATTCTAGAGCAGTGGTTCCAGGACCAGCAGCATCAAGCTTCACCTAGGGACTTGTTAGAAATGTGAACTCCCCAGCTATAACGGCTGAAACTGAGACCCCTTGTTTTAGCAAGCCTCCTAGGTGATTCTCTTGCCCACAAAAGCTTGATAATCATGGTCCTTAGCATTTCAATATGAAATGCCCTAACAAAATAGTAGAGGTAATGTCAAGTGCTTTCTAATTACACTTAGTCTGGAAATGGGGAATGCTGCCTGCCTTGGGTAGCTGCACAGGATGGGACCCAGCAACTCAGCCATGCGTTGGCTAAAGAGCCATGTCAACAGAGAGGGAGCCAAACCATGAGAGACTCTTGACTCTGGGAGACAAACTGAGGGTTGTGGAAAGGGAGCTGGGTGATGGGCATCAAGAAGAGCACATGATGTGATGAGCACTGGGTGTTATACGCAACTAATGAATCACTGAACACTACACCAAAAACTAATGATGAACTACTATATGTTGGGTAATTGAATTTGAATTTAAAAAAATAAAGAGCCATGTCAAAATAGGGCACAAGTCTCTGTTGGAGAGATAACACCTAAAGAAGGAAAAAGCAATGCAATACTTTATTGATACTTCCATTCCCCATATCCTCTTTTTGTTTGCACCCATTCTCAGTTTTATGATCTTGACATTTTTATTAAATCTGCTTACTTCCGTGGAGTGAATAATTTTGGTGGATTTCAAAAACAGGGTTGGTTGGCATGTGGGTCTAATGGGTTCTTATCTGAAATTTATTTAAATAGAAATCTCTTAACAAATATTTATGACCAGATCCTGGTTATGCTGAATGGGAGACACTAGAATGTGTAACTACTATCTCAGTGGCCTAAGACATATCGATTTATACGATCCTTGGCCAAACTGTCCCAGAGCCCAAACTGTGTCCCATATGCTGGGGCTTAGGGAGGTTAGGGTGACTTCAGAATACAATGAGGAAAGAGATCCTTCTTTCACTGATGTGAAACAGCTGCACTTCATCTTCTTGTCAAGAAGCAAAGCCTTGAAGTCACTGCTACCCTGTATTTATTAAAAGTTTAATTCAGAGGGGCGCCTGGGTGGCTCAGTCGTTAAGCGTCTGCCTTCAGCTTGGGTCGTGATCCCAGGGTCCTGGGATCGAGCCCCGCATTGGGCTCCCTGCCCTGTGGGAGGCCTGCTTCTCCCTCTCCCACTCCCCCTGCTTGTGTTCCCTCTCTCGCTGTGTCTCTCTCTGTCAAATAAATAAATAAAATCTTAAAAAAAAAAAGTTTAATTCAGAGAAATAACATCTGAAAATGGTTTGAGGGAGACCCAGTCCACCTACTCCGCCAGAGAGCCTCAAATATCCACCTGGATTCCACCAAACCAGCAGAGAGAGGCAGCAAGCCCATAAGAAGAGACACTGCATCAGTCCCTTACAAACTGCATTTGTGAACCATGCTTCCACATGTTGTCATTCCCTATATAGGGAAGCTATAGAAAATAACCCTGTGAAATGAGTCACAGCATCTCAGGTAAGAATGCTCATTGTATTATTGAATCCTTTTTATAAAATCCTTAGGGAAGTTTTGTCTCATCTAGGTATGTTTCTCTTGAACAATAAGTTTTCATCTTAGAAATACTGAAATTTGTAACAAACTGTATTTCCCTATATATGTCAGCTCAGATTAAATTTGAGGTATCTTGAAGGTGTATATGTAAATATACATATACATGCATTTACACACACACACACTCTCTCTCTCTCTCTCTCTTACAGGTTTCCCCCACTATCCAAAAGTAGAGTTGCTATGAAACCTTCCATAAGCCAAAATAGCATAAAGCAAAGAGGAAAAAATTTTGAGCATTCCCAGACCCCCAAAAATAACCTCTGTTAGGCTTTTCTGATACTGTAGGACACATCTTGCTAATGGATGCACAAACTAAGTCAAGAAAAAGCACAGATGCTCGCTCACAGATAACAGCCCAAAGCTCTGGTGGCCTGATGCTGAGATGCTGCATGTGGGTCCCAGGGCAGGAGCTGGGGCGGGCGGGGCGGGGGCCTCTCGCTGCTCCAGGTGTTGCCCCATAACAGCTCGCTGCAAAATGGACTCTGAAGGCTATTTCTGCTTCTGGCTTTTTTTCATAAAAGTGAAAATGCTCTCTGGATTTCTTTCACTTAGCTAGCAAAAACAGGTACGAATATAGATCTTTTGTAAAAGCAACATGGTGTAACACGAACTTTCAAAAAGCAGGGGATACACCTGTACACATCAATATTTGCACTCTACACAGCACCTGGAAAATGCCCTGCACCCAGTAAATGTGCGGCATTAGCTGGTCAGCTGACGAATCCACCTGCCCATTTCCAGCACTGTTTCCAGAGATGCAAGCTGGAGCAACTGCTTTACTCAATACACCAGAAATGTATAAAAAGAGAGGCTATAATTAAAGAATTACCTGTAAAACTGTATTTTTGATTTCGGAAATAGCTTTATCTCTGATATCCTCAAGCTGCTTCAGTGCCTGGGTGGCTTGCTGTAACTGTTCTTTACAAAATTCATCTAGAGAATATGTTCGAGACCTATCCAGCTAATTAAATGACAGTAAACGTTGAGTGTTGCAAAGTCAAAGTTCATTACAAAAAAAAGAGATATAAAGTATTATGGTCACACCTTCATGTCATAAAGAGCATATTTTATCCTTCCTTTTGTATACATTATGCTTTATATGCCAAATGCTTTTCACATTCTTCAAATCCAAACACCAGTAGTTAAACTAAATCTTGATAAAAGACAGAAAAATACATTCTCGTTTTAATTGTAACTAAGATTAAGCCTCAGCAGAAAAATTCAAAACTCGACGTATTTTTGAAATATCTATGAACCCAGGGGAACCACCAAATCCAGGAATTGCTTTTACCTTTGAAATCCCAATTATGTGTTAAGACTTAAAAACACGAGCACTAAATGTGGGATAAAGAGGCTAAAATTACATAATCCAAGTGACATGCATGCTCTACTGAGCTCATTCGAAATGTGGCCTGGAGAAATTCCAACACCTATGCTACCAAGCCCTGCCATACACAAACAACGTATAGCCCAGCATCCTTCCTCTTTCAGAATTTTCTCATTTTTCCCACATTCTGTTAATTCTCTTGCCAAAATACATTTTCATCAATAAATAGCAGACATCTTTATCCCTAGTTATACTGCAATGTTTTATAAATGCACACTTCCCTCAAAAAAAAAAAAATAGAAAAGTGCTGTTCTAGCCTTAAAATTCTGGATTAACTCTTTCTTTGTGTTCTCCTTCTCCTGGTCCCATATCTGGCTACCAGGTCCTGATTTTTCCAGTACATGTGTCTCAAAATCTCCCTTCCTTTCTGATCTCACTGCTAACCTCCTACCTGAAGCCATCCTTGCTCACACCTGCATTATTCTAGCACTCTATTAGCAATCTCTTTAACTCTGTATCTCCTTGCTTTCAGTTTTTCCCATAAACCAACATCACATTGATTTTCCTACAATAACATGTTCAGAAACTTTCATTAATTGTTAAGAATATGGGGTGCCTGGATGGCTCAGTCGGTTAAGCCTCTGCCTTCGGCTCAGGTCATGATCTCAGGGTCCTGGGATCAAGCCCCACGTCAGGCTCTCTGCTCATCAGGGAGCCTGCTTCTCCCTCTCCCTACTGCCCCCTACCCCCCATGCTTGTGCTCTCTCTCACTATCTCTGTCAAATAAATAAATAAAATCTTTAAAAAAAAAATAGGTCTCAGGGTGCCTGGATGGTTCTGTGGATTGAGCATCTGACTCCTGATCTCAGCTCAGGTCTTGATCTCAGGGTTGTGAATTTAAGCCCCACACTGGGCTCCACACTGGGCAAGGAGAAGCCTACTTTAAAAAAAAAAAAAAAGGATAGTTCTCAATGTTTACTCTGCATAGGAAATCACCAAGCGGGCTTGCAAAAAGTGTAGATTACTAGCACCACTCACCGCACTTTCTCCAAAAGGGGTAGGATACAAATTTACATTTTTATTAAGCCTTCAAAATACTGCCTCCCCCAATGCAATCATTCTTGAAACCCAAGTCCCAACTCTTTAGCTGGTTCTGTGGCTTTGGATAAATCACTGTCTCTCTAGGACTTGGTTTCTCAGTTGAAAGGGAAGGTCTGGATACAATGATCCACGTGTGCCCTGCGCCATACAGTTCCAGACACCCAGCCCCTGCACAGTGCCGGTTCATCCCGGCAGAACACTGGCACCCGCACGCACTCCACTCTAACTTCTGAACGGTCCCTTGTCCGCACTCCTGCCCTTGCTTCGTCCTCTCTGCCTCCTCCTTGTCAATCCTCATTGGTACCTGCATCCCCAGCAGTCCTAACATACAAGTGGCCACCTTCTGATTCCTGACCTCCATATCTCAGGTTCTCCTGGCTATGAAACTCTGTTCTCCCTCCAATTGGCCCTGGTCTTTCCAGACAATCTCAGAAACTCCTATTCTTGCTAACTTTCTTCACAACCCCCACTAGGAGTGCCCCAGCCTTAATGCCCAGGTTCCGCTCCTACTTCTCCCTTATTCTGTTATTCTTGGCCCAACATTCAAGACCCAACCTAACTTTCATATCAAACATATATTGAAAAGAGGACACGTTCTGCATGGAGCACTGGGTGTTATACGCAAACAATGAATCATGGAACACTACATCAAAAACTAATGAT